TTTTTTTGGTTATTTTTATTGTTAATGATTTCAAAAGCAAAATTCTTTCTTACATGTGACAATAGAGTTAATTGTATAGATAAAAAATTTCAGATTACTCATGCAGAAAATATCACCAATACAATTTCAAAGTTACATAAATATGGCCGTGTTATTTTTTTTTACGTCGAGGGTCGTGTTAACTTTCTTGGGATATTTTTACTTTTAATAGTTATAAAAAAATAGATTTCTTTTTTTTTTTTTAAATTTACAATAGAGTTAATTGTGCAGATAAAGGTTCCTTCAGTAAAAATATCACAAACGTAACTGCAAAACCCTTTAAAAATATCAATATTTTTATTGACACGGGTTGATTGATTGGTTTATTTTTTACGGCTTATCGATCCTTTCAGAATTATTTGAAACCGAAACATATTTTGGATTATAAAAATAATTTCTTCTTTTTTACGGCTTATCAACCCTTTCTAGGTTATTTAAAGTCAAAAATATATTTTGGATTGTGAGAATAATATATAGTATATATTTTATATAGTATATATATTATATAGTATATTTTAAATAATATATATTTTACATAGTATATACATTATATAGTATATATTATATAGTATATATATTATATAGTATAATTTTTTTATATAGTATATATTTTATATAGTATATATATTATATAATATATATATTATTCTATATAATATATTATATAGTATATATATTATATAGTATATATATTATATAGTATTTTAAGACATTTTTATGTTTATACGTTCTTTTTCATAATTATTTATAATTATTTTATAATAATTGTCGGACTTTGTCAATTTCATAATGTATTATATAGTATATATTTTATATAGTATATATATTATATATATTTATATAGTACATACTTTATATATAGTATATATCTGAACTGTGTATGCATATAATGATATATGTTCTAGAGTTGAGTTAAAGGGAAATAACTGAGACATCCGGAAGAGGCATGGCACGTGGAAGTAAAACAATTACCCCGGTGGATGAAATAATGGGTTCGGTTCGAAATTCCAATCACCTGAAAAAGGCCGGAGCGTACAACGTGCCGAAATGTTGTGAAGATGAGGATAACAGTCCGAATAATGTAAATAATGCAAGTAATCATAATACCTCATCTCAGAGATATAGAGGCCGAAACGTTGTGAATATGGCACTGAAGATGAAGATAACAGTCCGAATAATGTAAATAATGCAAATAATCATAATATCTCATCTCAGAGATATAGACGGAAATATTTCTTTTGAGAATTTCATTATTTGATTTTGTTTTCTTTCTTCATCATCCTTATTTTTGACTAACAATTCAAGATTATAAATTTATTTCCCGCCATAACATTAAAACAATTAAATAATAGGACAACGGAAAAAGCAAACATTTGCACCGACTGAAAAAAACAACTTCACTCCCTGAAGAGGAACAAAGTCATCGGACAAATAATATCGAGAAATAGATTCATTTTAAAGCAACAATAAATACACTTTAAAAACAAGAAAAAAGAAATGAAAAGAAATATCTATCTATCTATCTATCTATCTATCTATCTATCTATCTATCTATCTATCTATCCTATTCCGTTTCTTTGTTCATTGCAAGCTATCTAATTCTGTTACTTTTTTCTTTTCTTTTGTTTTCTTTCTTTAGCAACGTGATCTTTTTTCTTCTTCATATATATATATATATATATATATATATATATATATATACAATATAACGGATAAAAGAAACCCGGATATAAGAGATTTTTCTCTGGTCCCAAAGTGTTCCCCATACTTACCTAAACAAAATAGACCAAACCCGGATATAAAGAAATCCGGATATAAGAGACTTCTTCTCCGGTCCCGACAACTCTCTTATATCCGGGTTACACTATATATATATATATATATATATATATATATATATATATATAATTAGCAGCCATAATATAAGAACGGAAACAACAAAAGACATAAATATGTGTATTACTTAAAAAGTAATGCATGATTAGCAATGAAATTTTTACCGAATAAAGATTAGGGTGTAATGCATAAATATTATACAAGGTTACAAAAATTTACATAACAGTTTGTTTTTAAATAAAGATTAAATGTTCCATTTAATCATTTTTTTTAAAAAAAAAACTATTATGTAAAGTTCTTTCCGTTCTTTATATTATGGCTGCTACTGTATATAATTCTGTTCATATCTATCTATCTATCTATCTATCTATCTATCTATCTATCTATCTATCTTCTTTTCATATCTATCTATCTATCTATCTATCTATCTATCTATCTATCTATCTATCTATCTATTAAAACAATATCCAGGTAGGCAGTGACCTGCCACAACTGCCAGTATCTATCTATCTATCTATCTATCTATCTATTTATCTATCTGTTCGTACGTATGTATGTATGTATGAATCTATCTATCTATCTATCTATCTCTCTATCTATCTCAGTCTATTAATACGTATCTATATATCTAAAACAAATACTATGTATAAAAGAGAAAATTTAAATATGTTATTATCTGAAATTTCGTTAATTTTTTTTAAAAAAATGACGGAGAATGCTCCTGTTATTTGCAACCCGGTATGCGTAGCTACCCCATTCTTTAAGTCTTTTCCTAAGTAAATGTACATTTATTTTTTTTAATATCTTTTTCAACTAAAGGACAGTCTTGCTTACACTTTGTGCGAACTTTTCTTCAACGTTATTCATAATTCAGCTTGCAATTATCAGACAAAAGAAGACGATATTACTTCGAATAATGTAATGAATGCTAACGATAGTCTCTCACACAAATACCAAATTAAAGATTAGGATATTAGTCTGAACGGACACTACAATGCCAATGGCGCCTCATTTCACAAATCTCAATTCACGCATGCGTATTATCTTCATCATAGCAAGATGACCGTTGCATTTCTGTCCACTTGCGTAGGTGATTTAGCCACAAGTCAACGTGCGTCCAGCCAGCTCGCAATTGGTCAGTGGTTTTCATCGAATACATAAACCTGTCAGAAGGTGGGCCCCCATAATGGCCAGTTTAACGTCCGTGTGTCCGAAGCGTATTTACAACAACGGAAGATATTCCACTTGGCCGGCCTAATTCGATGGGTCGGGGTTGTTGCGCTTTGGTGGAGTCGTAGTTCGCGTGGACCGACAGATTTGACAGAAGGTCGAATTAATATTGTATACAGCGTCGGTTTATGGTGCTTCGAACCAAATCTCTCGTGTACACTAACGAGTGAAATCCAGTTTCGGTGTCGCTAAATGAAGTTGCTTCGATACAAAATCGTTTCCAAGTATAATTTTAAGTAATGTCAAAATATGCAGATGACACAGTGTTAATAACAGACACGGAAAGGAAACTACAAAAGTTCCTACAGAAGATAGTGAAGGAAAGCGAGAAGGACTAATTATAAACTACAAGAAAACAATGTATGGTTATCAATAAAAGGATGATCCCAAAATGCAAATTACGAATCGGGGATACCAAAATCAAATAAGTACAGAAATTTAAATATCTGCGAAGTGTTCTAACAGAGGACGGAAAGTGCGACACTGAAATCCGAAAACGTATCGGGATGCCAAAGATGCATTCTAAAAGCTAAGCAGAGTATTAAGCGACAGAAAAATTTCGTTAGAAACAAAGAAAAGAGTACCAAACTATTACGTGATATTTGTCTTCTTATATAACAGTGAATGTTGGACAATCTCCTCAAAGATGAAGAAGAGACTTAAAGCAACAGAAATTTAAATCTACAGAAAGATACTGAGGATAATCATGTGCCGAACATGTGAGCATCGTCGAGGTTTGGGAGAAAATGGAAACAAAAAGGAAACTTATAGGAAGACGCAGTTGAAATTTCTGGAGCACGCAATGAGCAAGGAGGGCTTGGTAAAGCTGATAATTTACAGGACAGATTAAGGGAATGTGGTACAGAGGAAAGCAGCGCGTTACATACTTGATGAGCTTGAGTAAAAGATTTTGGGAGAAATAAGAAGATGTGGAGGGCCATGATCACCTACGTCCTGAAGAGACACGGCACATAAAAGAAGACATATGGACATAAATCATATAATTACGTACTTTACTTTCATTCAACCATGTGTAAGACTAAAGAACAGATTGATGCTCTGTGAACAAGTCCAGATAATGAACATATAAAATATTCAATGAGCCTGTATCATGTTTGAAACAGTTGTTATTTCTCACTGAGGTCAGCGGTATTATTTTCGGGGCGCGTCATGAGTAAAGATGGCTTGTAAAACTTGATATTTTAAAGGACAGATTGAGGGAAAGGCGGGGACAAAGGAAAGCAGTGCGTTACATATTTAATGAGTAAAAGGTTTGGGCAGAAATAAGAAGATGTGGAGTGCCATTATCACCTACGTCCTGTAGGGGCACGGCACATAAAAGAAGTCATATGGACATAAATCATATAACCTGATTACGTACTTTACTTTCATTCAACCATGTGTAAAACTCAAGAACAGAATGATGCTCTGTGAACAAGTCCAGATAATGAACATATAAAATATTCAATGAGCCTGTATCATGTTTGAAACAGTTTCATATTTCTCACTGGGGTCAGCGGTATTATTTTCGGGGTGCGCAATGAGTAAGGATGGCTTGTAAAACCTGATACTTTACATGACTGATTGAGAGAAAGCGGGGGGCGGGTGAAAGGAAAGCAGTGCGTTACATACTTGATGAGCTTGATTAAATCGATGGTAAAACAGGGCTTTGGAAAAGTAAGAAAACGACAAAACTTATTAAGAGCGAGAAGGGACAGGAAGCTGTGGCGAGACATAATCACATACGCCCTGAAAGGACACGACGCATAAAAGAATAAAAGGTTAGTTTAACGAAAATGACTTTGTTGGCCTTCAATTAAACCGAGAAAAAGAGAGAGAAACTGGATTTAAAAAAATCGTTTTTATGAATACAGTGACATAGAAGACCATCTTAAGACCATATCACGTGGGTGGAAACATCGACTCTCGTATGATCACCGAAGTTAAGCAACGTCGAGCCTCGTCAGTACGTAGATGGGTGACCGCTTGGGAATACCATGTGTTATAAGCTTAGATGTGCAGATGGTGTAATGGATAATGGATTTGAATTCGAAATCGGAGAGCAGAGTTCCAATTGCAGTCTCGTTTCGATATATATTCACTTATGTAGAAATACCGTTGAAGGAAATATATTATTCCACCTCTTCTCACCCAGTTATGGGTTAATTAGTCGAACATGTATCAGTAAAAATCATACCAAAGAATTCTGAGACTCTAAAAATATTTTCTGGTTTTAAATAACCTGCAAGAGGTTGATACACCGTAAAAAACAAATCAATCAATTGTAGGCAGATAAAGAAAAGGACAAAGAACATTATTATCAACGTACGTATGATGATAATATCTAAATAATGATATATAGACTTTAACAAAGTAAATCTCCCAAAATATAATATTTAAATATTTCTGCTTGTTATTGCGTTACAGAGACTTTGTCAAAATAGCAAATCGTAATGAGATATTTTTATGTTGAATTTTAACGATAGTGTTCTATCTTCAAGAAAAAAAAGCAATTTCCTGAAAAACATGCACTATAACGATAATAATGCAGCATCGACATTCGCGCTCACCCCGATATCAATGATCCAATTTTTCTAATTTGTTTGCTAAAAAAAGACGAAAACAGAAATAATATCAACATTGCAAGAGGAAAAGAAATAATAGTTTTCCTCATAAAAATAACTTATTTTTATGAAGAAATAATTTTGTTATACAAAATAGACATATTATTATTTCAGAGGTATTATTAATTTATGTAAAAAAAAACGAACTTTTTATTCTTCTTTCTTTTCTTTTCTTTTCTTTCTTCTTTCTTTTCTTTTTCTTACTTTTAATTTTTCTTTTCTCTTTCTTTTCTTTTATCCTCTTTCTTTTCTTTCTTTTTTATCTTTTTCTTACTTTTCTTTTTCTTTTCTCTTCTTTCTTTCTTTGCTTTTCTTCTTTCTTTTTTCTTTTCTTTTTTCTTCATAAACACTGACTCACTCTATTACAAAAATGCTACAATCTTCCTTAATTGTAAGCATGCATACTAAAAAAAGTCCGTCACTTCGATGTGGTGTAATGGTTAGCAATCTTGTCTCGCGAGATCAACTATGACTGAATTGTGAGTTCGAGCCATACTTTAGACCAGGCATGTCAAACTCAGATCATATGGAGGGCCGCATCAGCCATATCTGCAGCCTCGAGAGCCGCACCTGCTTACACTCTTATATTAATCACAGCTAGTGGTAACTAAACTGTAAATACAAAATACTTACAATACAAGGTAGTACAATTTAATCATTTTTATGTTGTCCTGATGATTGACATCCCTTCAGACAAAGTATTCTCAATATATCAGGTTGGAATGTCTGTGTAGATCCCACTTTGATCAAAGATGACAAATAATCTGGTTCTGTGAGACATTTTTGTGACCTTTATAAACAAAAATAACTGCTCACAGACATATGTGGAACCAAACATCGCCATAATCTTTGTGGCAAACTTTCTGAAGTTCTTAAATGTTTGAGGAAGATATGAAAATAAATCCGGGTACCCCTACTTCTAGGTACTTTCCTTTGAGTGTTGAGTCAGTCTGTATTTCCAGTAGTTCCATCTGTAGACTTTCCTCTGTCTGAGCAACATCAAAAGTTAATGGTGCTGAGAATAATGATCTTCACAAGTTGAAAAATCACAAAATCTTTGCTGAAATTCCTTGGACAGCAATTCCAGGTAATTGTCATACTTAGTAAAGATAAATTTAGACTCAGTATTGGCAGTTTTTTTCAACTTCTTGCACATAGGAAAAAGAATCAAGTTTTCATGTGACAACTGGGACTTCAATAAAGTTAATTTTTCAATGAAACACTTGATATCGTTATATAACTGAATGATGAGCTTATTTTTCCCTTGTAATTTCAAATTAAAGTCACTTAATTTGTCAGTAATATCCACTGAAAAAGCTAGATCTTGGAGTCAGCTTTCATCTTTCAATTCATCTGTGCTTTGACCCTTCATCTCCAAAAGCATAACAATTTCGTGTCGCAATAAAAAAAATATTTTCAGTACCTTGTGATATGAAAGCCACCGAACTTCTCTATAAAATGAGACAATTGTGAACTGATTATTCACGCCTTCCAATAACTGGCTGAACTGATGGTGATGCAGAGCACAACCTCTGATATAGTTCACTGATTTTGTGACAAAACTCATCGCATGATCTAATTTTAAAATCTTAGAACATAAGTTCTCTTGATGAATTATACAGTGAAACTGCTTGAATATTGAATCTGGATATATATTTTCTATTTTTTTACCTAACTTGGCAGCAATACCATTATGTCTCCCAACAATATTGGCAGCACCATCATTAGATAAACACACAAGTTTACTCAAATCAAGGTCATACTCATGGAGAAGCTGTTCAACTTTTTCAAAAATGTCCTGGCTTGTTATAGTATCCTGCATTGGGACAAGTTCATTTAGTTCTTCATAAATTTAAAATTCATTGTCACAGTCCCTGATGAAAATGGCAAGCTGTGCTATTCTAACAATGTCAATCAAGAGCAATAGAAAAATGTTCAAAATTTGATGATAAAGTCTTCAACTGTCAGCTCAAATCACCTGCCATTTCATCAATCCACTCAGCAACAGTGTTCCTGCCTAATGAAATGTCTTGAAATAAGTGTGACTTCTCTAGACATACAATTTCAGCTGTTTTTACAAGACATTGCTTTATGAAATCTCCTTCAATATAAGATTTTCCACTGATTGTGATCATATTGCAGAGTTCAAAGCTTGCAGTAACAGAACTTACATTATCTTTCTGAATTTTTGTAAAGCAACTCTGTTGCTGTGTTAACTTAACCTTGAATTTCTTCACTTTTGAAACATGCATATCTCCTTCATATCATAAGATTGATGGTTTTTTTCATAATGTCTTTTCACATTATATTCTTTTGATGTTACAAATGCAGTGGTTGCAAATCAAAACAGTTTATCTTTCCATTAAAAGTGGTACAAAAGTACTGTAATTCCCACTTTTCTTGAAACACACGTCCTTCTTCAGATAATTTTCTCTTTTTACGAGATGGCGTAGAAGTCGACATTTTTAAGGCAAAATATTACAAAATTACAAACATTTTCACTTTACATTTGTTCTTATTTAGTTTTCAAGGATGATCACATGATTAACCGGAAGTTAAAAATAGTCGCTGATATTCGAAAGCAAAAAACCATTGATATTGAATAAACAATCTAATCATAACAATTAAAAAAAAATCTCACTGCTTTTAATAATTTGTATTACCAACATAGACAAAATTCTTGATATACCACGACTATAGAAACCTTTGTGAGGGCTGCCAAGATGCATGTAAAAGGCCTCATGCAGCCTGCGGGCTACCAGTTTGACACACCTGCTTTAGACCTTGTGTCACATGTAAATCGCTATATTAAAAATCATTTAACACTACATTTTAGCTGATTAAGAATGAGTAAAAATCACAAGTAAAACTAACTTGGAATTTCCAAAATCGTTGGAATTTGGCTAATTGCAAAGAAATTTATTATTTATTCATCATTTATTTCGTACAGATTTATATCATTATCATTTATTTGTAAATAATTATAATATAAATTATTCATCTTTTATTTCTATCTTCAATCATCAACAGTTCCGCATTTTAATTGCGAACATGCATGTTTAAAAATATCATTAAATTCCTGCTGTACAAGTAAAGATAACTCTTTAAATGTAGTTGGATTTTGGCTAATTGCTGAATAATCTCTCTTATTTGTAAATAATTATAATATAGATTTTAAACATTTTTTATCTCTTTTACACTTCGGGATCAGTAGAAGTACAAGTAAAGATAATTTTAAATGTAGTTGGAGATTTGTCAATTGCAGAGTAATCTCCCTTAGTTGTGGTCGAATTCATTTCTGTGTATGACTAGTGTATTTGTTAAAATGTTATGTATGAGGTGTCTTTTGTGTTCATAGATACGTTTATTTTTTTTAAAATTTCTGCACGTTTCTCCCATGTATTATGAGGAACAGTTTTGGCAATTTATTTTATATATGCCTGCTTCTGAAGTATTGTTATGAATGTTTTATCCATGATGGTTTGAAAAGTGATTGTGTCTATTTCGATGTTGTTTAGATGGAATAAGTTGTTTTGGATAGATAGTGTTATATATCTGTTTTTATTAGTTTATTTTTGTGGATAATGTTGTTATAGTTATGTTATAATGTTTATAGTAAAATGACCAACACTATATTTTTATAGTAAAATGACCAACAATACATTTTATAGTAAAATGACCAACAATATATTTTTATAGTAAAATGACCATAATATATTTTATAGTAAAATGACCAACAATACATTTTTATAGTAAAATGACCAACAATATATTTTTATAGGAAAATGACCAACAATACATTTTTATAGTAAAATGACCAACAATACATTTTTATAGTAAAATGACCAACAATATATTTTTATAGTAAAATGACCAACAATACATTTTTATAGTAAAATAACCAACAATACATTTTATAGTAAAATGACCAACACTATATTTTTATAGTAAAATGACCAACAATACATTTTTATAGTAAAATGACCAACAATATATTTTTATAGGAAAATGACCAACAATACATTTTTATAGTAAAATGACTAACAATATATTTTTATAGTAAAAATACAAAATTTATATATAAAAAAATTACCAACAATAAGTATTTATAGTGAAATTATCAACAATACCTATTTATAGTAAAATTACCTAAAGTAAATATGTATAGTAAAATCACCAAAATCACCTATTTATAATAAAATTACTAACGATATATATTTATAGAAAATTACCAACATTTTCTGTTTATAGATAAATTATCAAAAGTTTCTATTTATAGGGAAATTACCAATAATACATTTTTATAGTAAAATGACCAACAATAAATATTTATAGTAAAATGACCCTAATATATTTTATTGTAAAATAATATTGTTATACTTG